TGGCTTCTGAAGCTTGTCGTTGCCCACAGCTATCCTCTGCCTCTCGTTTCAAGAGAACATCTAGCCCCTTTGCAGACAAGAAAAACCATTACTTTGCATACCCTTGTAGTATCTGGCCTCCTCAGTGCTTGTTCTCTATTGTCCAGACTCCACTGCTGTTGTATCATGCATGGGCCACTGCAACTCACATCAGAGCTTTTTCGTTGTGTGTCCTAACTCACGGCATATCAGTTCTGATATAAACACTAATATCTCAGTCGAATCCACACAAAAGATCTCGTCGTTTCTTCTTTTTCTTCTTCCTCTTAACTCTTGTACTGCTAATCTTTGATTTCGCATGATGGTCTCTATCTTTCAAACTTTACCTCAGATTAATCACCATGAGCTCTGATACCAGAGCTCTAATACCACTTGTTGGGTAATAGATGATCCCTGATTTTAACCTCCGATTGTCCAGAGATCAAACCACAAACCACAAGATAAAAACAATAGCAATGAAGAAAAAAAACACTGAGATTTACATGGTCGGTCAACTAAGTTCAACCTGCATTTACAGGGCAACAATTCGAGATATCCACTACGTTTGAGGGAGAACATGACAAGAGAGATCACTAATCTCTCTATCTCCCAGCCTCACATACGCTCTCTCATACTCTCTCCTAAGCCCTCAATCTCATCTCAAGCCCTCTCACATGAGAGATTTATATAGTGCTATCAAAAAAAAAAAAAACCCTAGAACTAACTTATTCCAAAGGCCCATGATAGGCTTAAAAGCCCACTGGATACTAAAATAGATACGAGACATATCCAACAATAGGGTATCGTCAAGAAATTGAAGCTTAAAGATGGAAGGTAGTGACATTGTCACGAAGTATGGGTATCATGCTGTGGAGATCATCTGCCACTAGGACAAGAGGAGTAATGAGGGATCCCTTATAGAAGGCACACTTCTAGAATTATCGGGATTATATAAGTTCAATAACGCTCAACTAAACAACAGAAGATATTCCCAGCAATAATTCTTAAACTTTAACTAATGTTATAAAGAAAAGTGGTGTATGTGCAAGGCCACTCATCAGGGATCCACAAATACATCATAAGCGGCGTAAAAAAACATATATGAATACAACAGTACTGATACTTTTTTCTTTATCAAATGCACATACAAAGAACTATTACTGTATGAACATTGAAGCCAGTATTGTAATTGCTAAAAAAGGTACAAATTCAGATCTAACAGTTTCTAGCTTAATATTATTTGAATAGTACTAAAATGTTTAGAAAAAAAATAGGTTCAAGTGTAACTTTTTTGCGTTAGGGAAATGAAAAAAACATAAACATACTTTGCTGGTTCTATGATTTATCTGACATCACAATGTAAGTAATGCCTAAGGCAGTACATTGGAATGTGTATTCGGGTATTATATAGTGCCTCGATATTCACACTCGGTACCTTACAATACCATATGTATTTATATCATATTTTAATGGCATATCATGCTTGTCATCATATAAATATTGGATTACTAGCATTCACACTTGTCTATGCTCGTACTCATGTTCATTAACCCTTAGATAAGTCTGCAGGCATTATCATTCAAACTCTGTTTAAAACAAATAAACTAGGCTCAAGTAGATCAGATATATCCATTCTGCTGAAGGTGTTATTTGTTTTCTGAATATTATATGTTAGCTACCATCTAATCTGCTTATAATTTCACTGTCTAAATTGCGGGAATTATCTCCTAAAACCATCTAAAACTGGGTTATTGTGCTGAAAATTTCTGTAGGTGTGGGGAACCTGCTAGATGTTAAGCTGGATTGAATACTATTAAGAGCAAAAAGTTATAAATAGTGTAGAGCTCAGGAAACTTAACGCATCCTGCAGATCATGGCTTTATTCATATTCTTAATAACTTTAGGCGATAGAGTTTGACAAGGACTTGATGTCAATGTTGCACCTCCTAATATAGATCTGTGTTTGCTTTGCCTTTTCAATCGCTTATCATTCGGATTCCCTCATTAAAAATATAGTTGAGGATAGACCCTCTGTATTGCCTAATTGCAAATAGATCACCCATTTCTGGATAGACCCCTTATAGTTCTATTGTTGTGGAGTGACCCCCTGAATGAATTTTTTGTTGGCTATTTTACCCTTAGAGAATGGGATTTTTTTTTTGACGAATAGATCTCCTGAGGTTTAAAAGAGTAAAAAAAATCACCCAGGGCCTATTGGGCGATAGTAAAGGGGGTCTATCTGCTACATAGAACCACAGGGGGTCTATATGCAATTGGGTGATAGTATACAGGGCAATTTGCAATTAACCCTTAAAATAAAAAACGATAATCTAGATATACATTTGCAGTCTAGTTGATTGTTGTTTTGCTTCATCAGGTGTTCGATATGTTTAGCAGATTATGAAGAGAAAGAGATACTACGGGTGATGCCCACATGTAACCATAACTTTCATGTTGCTTGCATCGATGTCTGGCTCCAGAAACAATCCACATGTCCAATTTGTCGTTTGCCACTGAGTGACATGTTTGAAGTGCCTCCCGAATTTGAAGTTCTTCATGAACAAAACAATACTGAGCATACTGACGAGCATTCTAACCAATGGTTACTGCCCAGCCATCGAAGATCAGAAGGCATCGAGAGTAACCAAGAAACCCGTGATTCTGTATCTATAAACATTGGAGGATAGTGGAGTTAAGTTCGAAGTAAAATGAGCCCCAAGGTTCTGCCTCAAAATTTTGGTTTATATCCATGGAGAATGCATATTTAGCTCGTGTTTGCTTTGTATATTGCTCTCCTGAATATTGCCATATAAAATGCAGATTCTGTGTAGAGCCTAGATAAGAGTGTGTACTGTAAGATTCTTTGTAGTTTGGTCGTTTTGTAGTAATCTGAATTATTTCATGAGTTTCTCAAACTTTTGTATGTTTCTATGGTGATGGAGATCAATGCTAAGTATAGTGATCTCATGTGTATGTAAATATCTGTAAGATTGATTTTTTATGTAAGTATCTGTAAGATTGATTTTTTCCCTCATCAAAGGAGAATAAAAATTTTCTTCTTTCTTAGTTTCTTAAAATAGTTTGCTCTGTTCAATCAAGTTTGGAAATGTGGCTTTCAGTTCCGTTGTGTTGGTATAGAAATTAAATCTTGCATAAAGATATTCAACTTTCTGCTGTGAACTGCATCCATCTGTTTCATCGCGTGAAGAAACATAAAGAATATTACAGGTGATGTGGCCGTGAACTCTTTACATCTAGTTCAATGATGCAAGTCTTGCAAATTTACATCTAAATAGGTTCATCTAGTTGCTTATTGACATAAACATGACTGTTATTGACTCTTGCATTATGCGTATGTTTGCTTTTCATTCATGTTTCCCCCAACTTTTTTCTGTTTCCCCCATCTTTTTTCTTTTCTTTTCTGCTTCTTAGAAACTATTTAGGAATATGGCACGACCCTTTGGAAACGCTCAAAATGTTTATAAACAATCATTTAGACCTTAACCAATAGGAGAGCTTTCCATAGAGTAACCACTAGGAGAGTAACCACTGAAATTTGATAAATAACCATTTAGACCTTAACGAATAGGAGAGCTTTTCATAGAGCAAAAATTATAAGCCTCAATTCTTACCATGACGTTAAAGTTTAGGTGCACTGGCACGAACCTTTTGACATGGTAATAGAGCAATCAAAAAGCCGCACAATATACGAGGCAATGTTGACTAATGACATTTTGATATCTAATCTTATATTTAGTAAGTAAGCAGTTGTTGAGCCAATCATCGCTCATTTTATTTCGCAACTTAATTTTTATCAATTTCATTGTAGAGAAAACTCTTTCCACAGCTGTCGTTGCCACGAGTAAAATCAATGCAAACTTTAAAAGTAAATAAACCAAAGGATAGACATTTTGCTTTTAAGTCTCCATAATTTTCCTTGAAGGATCACCTATTCCCTTCATATTAGACTTTAGAGCTTTGGTACTTTCACTATAACTTTAGAGCTTTGGTGCAGTCGCAGTGTCCTTTGACATGATAGAGCATAAAATTGTAACGCTCACCACAATTCAAGAATTTTGGTACGTACAATGGCAGGTATCAGAGCTACACAGGTTAAAGTCCTAAATGCCACAAGACTATAAAGAAAGGGAAAAAAAACATGATTTAGTTCTACACATTACACTATTTTGACTCTGGTTCTAGAAAGTATAACCTAGTACTTGGTAAAAAGTAACTTGCCATCCACATCATCATCATCAAGTAGTACTGGCATGTCTTCCAAGTCTCTGGCATCACCTTCGTTTTCCCCTGCTCTTCTCAGGCCAACTGCTCATCGCTCGCACGCAACATTTCCTCCTCTGCCCTGCGCTCCTTCAACTTTATCCCAAACCTGTCTCAGAGGTCATGCATTAGTTTCTCCCTAATAAGCATCGGCTCTTTAATGAGATCCGTCCCAATATAATGAGGCATCGACGGTGAAGAGAAAGAGGATGAATCATATCCCTGATTTTGGACTCCAATGTCGTGTCCCCGCAAACAGCATGCTGCATATTGCAAAGCAAGAGGTCAGATTTTTGTACTCTACTAGGTGGTATTATAAACACTGATATCAGACTAACATGCAGTTAGTTTAAAGATATGATTGGAAATGATTCTATATCAGAACTCTAGTGTAGGCATTGATTATTGTTGAATGCCAGCTCTAAGGTCTCCATTAAACCAACCCAAAAATGCTTTCACACTGTCATTACTCTTATTAATCAACAAACAACAACCACATAGACCCAAAAGCACAATCAATTCCACAAACACCCAACATTGACAACGACGATACAAACACAGACCCACATCAGAATTATATATACCATGTTGGATATTTTTGGTCAAAACCGGTTTCTAAAAATGAGTTTTCAAACTATGTGTTTGTTAACTATTGGTATTTTTTAGAAATCCTTAGTAGCGTAGCCGAAAGTTAAAGATTTGATATCTCAAAGGTCCTATGTTCGAGGCTTGCCAATGACAAGCCGAGAATTATTTTTAATTAATTAATCCCTCATAAATTCTAGTGGGCTGTGGGCCGTGGGCTAATGGGCAGGGGATCGGGGCTAATCGGGCTGAGACGCTAAGTCGCGCTTTGTTAGGCACACTTTGCACTTCACACGGAAGCATCGGGGCAAGGTGGCGCCCTTTGCAGCATGCGGGCGAGCCTCGCGTTCGCAGCTAGGGCGAGCCTCTCTTTCGCATGAGGGTGTGACCCTCCCGTTCACAAGAGGGAACGCGACCTTCGCGTTCGCGCGAGACTGGACGCGACCCTCGTGTTGTGCAGGATTGCGACCCTCGCGTTCAAACGTTACTGCATGCAGTAGTTACAACATTTATGTTACTTGTTGTTACAAACATAATTGCCGTAATTGTCATTATGTTTGTAACGGTCAAATTAAATGTGGGTGACCTTTGAGCTGGTCTTAGAGGCCTATATATAGTGCCTCTTGGGGAGCTCTTGGACATATAAGAAAGCGATACGAAAAATAGAGACCAAAATCTCTTTTGTGCTGTTGTGCTGTTGCTGCAGAATCTGAAAGCGCGCAATCTTTAATCTCTGCCCGAAGGAATATAGCCCTAAACTGAATGGTTGTTTAAGATCGAAAGATCTTTTGTTTGAACCGAAAGATTTTGAACCGAAATGTTGTTTAAGATTGAAAGAACTTTTGCCCTAACCGAAAGGTTTTGAATCAAAATGTTTTAACAGAACGAGGAGATCTTTACCTGAACCGAAAAGTTTTGAACCAAAAGGTTTGATAGATCGAGGAGATCTTGACATTACCTGGTTGGTGCACACCCGTGTACTATATTGCTGTTCCTGTAAACAGTTTGGCCTTGGGATCCTTATACCGGAGTAGGCCAAATATTGCTTTAAACACAACATTTCATAAACGCACAACAGCTAAACTTAAAAAAGTTTTAAAATACAGCATTTCAGTTCTCACTATTTTATTCCAGATTTAACCACAAATGCCAACAATCTTAAAGTAATATTTCTAATCTTCAATGGATCCTGCGAGGACACTTGGAATGGACTTTACTAAGTTAGAGAACTTAGACGGATCCAATTTTAACACAAGACATTGAAAAGTGATTCTCGACATGCAACTCCTGAAAATCTATTATGTGGTCTCTGAGGAGAAACCCGACTCTAAAAAAGATTCTAAGTCTGAAGCCTCTTGGACTAGAGATGATCACTTCTGCAGGAGTTATTGTGATGCCTCTGGTTTCACACATGGCTACAGTCCAACACTTGCTGGTGCTCCTCATCGCGTAAATGTTTCTTAAGCATCAGAACATGGAAGACATCGTGTATACTCGACATCGATGCTGAAAGATCTAGCCGATACAAAATAGCTCCTATGCGCTCAACTATCCTGAACAGACCAATATACCTAAGGGTAAGCTTTCCCCATCTACCAAATTACCGAACTCCCTTCATTGGTGATATTTTCAATAATACATAGTCTCCAGCATGGAACTCTAATGGTCATTGCCTCTGATCAGCGTAACTCTTCTGACGACTATGCGCTGTAAGAATGCGCTCCTGAATTATTGTTACCTTCTCTGTAGTTTGTCTCACGAGCTACAACCCAAGTAGAAAGCAATCCTCTGGCTCTGCCTAACAAATAGGAGATCTGTAAGGCCTCACGTACAATGTCTCATATGGTGTCATGTAAATAGTCGCTTGGTAACTGTTGTTATGAGCGAACTCAATCAATGGAATATGGTCCTCCCAGCTGCCCTGGAAATCTATAATACATCCTGCAATATATCCTCCAACACTTGGTTGACTCTCTCCGTTTGTCCATTTTTCTACGGGTGTAAAATACCAGAATACGATAACTGACTACCGAAAGAATTCTGGAAGCTCCTCCAAAAGTGTGAAGTGAAAACCGAGACTCGATCTAATACGATCGTCTCTGGAACTCCATGAAATCTTACTATCTCCTTGATGAATATCCTCGCATAAGTCTCCATCATGTAAGTCGTCTTTACGGGAATGAAATGTGCTGACTTCGTCAATTGATCTATTATCACCCAAACTAAATTGTTCCCCTTCTTTGATTTCGGTAATTCTACAATGAAGTCCATAGAAATGTCTGCCCACTTCTACTCTGGAATGGGTAAAGACTGTAGGGTTTGTGCTGGTCTCTGATGTTGTGCCATCACTTGCTAGCAGGTAAAGTACTTGGCCACATACTCTGCAATCTCCCTATGCATGCCGCTCTACCAAAAGTGACTCTTCAAGTCCTTGTTTCTTTTTTTTGTGCCTAGATGCACTTTATACCTGGTACGATACGCCTTATCAAATAAATCTTTCTTCAACTGTGGATTACTTAACATCACTAATCAGCCCTTCATTCGAAGTCCTCCATCTGCTCTAACTGTCCAATCAGCCTTTGGCTCTTTGGAAATCTCTTCCTTTCAGATTTGAATCCAAAAGTCCTCTAACTGAGCTCTGACTACTCTATCACTCCAAGATGGTTGTACTGACAAAGCTCCCAAAAATACGCTGCTCCTGCCGATCTCTAGTCTAAAGTCAAACTGGGTAAGGGTGTGAAGATCTCGATACAACGAGCACCTCAAAGCTAAAATCCGATGCTAACGCTTCCTACTCAATGAGTCCACTACCACGTTCACCTTCCTTGGATGATACTGAATCGTGAACTCATAATCCTTGATAAACTTAACCCATCGTTGTTGTCTCTCATTTAGCTCTTTCTGAGAGAAGAGGTACTTCAAACTCTGATGATCCGTGAATAGCTCAAACTGCACTCCATACAGATAGTGTCTCCATGTCTTCAATACGAAGACTATTGCTACTAACTCCAAGTTGTGCATGGGATAGTTCTGCTCGTGCATCCTTAACTGTCGTGAAATATATACTACTACCATCTAGATCTGCATCAATACACCTCCTAGACCCGAAAGTGACACATCTATATAGATGACCAATGTCTTATCACGGCTCGGGATAATTAATCTTGGTGCTGTAGTCAATTTAGCTTTTAAA